GTCTAAATGTTAAAATGTAAAGGATTTTTTCCTAGTTGTTTTTATAATAATTACAAAAATCCACTGTACTGTGGTTAAAAGACTACTGATCTCCAAGACACTTCTCATTTAAGTTTGTTAGAGCTTAAATGTGTTCAACTGCCCTCTGTGACCAATCATTCTGTAAGATTGGATGTCATGTGAGAATTCTGTCAAAGTCTCTCATGTTGGACCAGGATGTAGCTCAGTGGTACAGCACCTGCACGGCAGGTGAGTTCGATTCCTGGTACCAAAGAAGAAGAAAAAGAAATCTCTCATTTTGATGATGGCTTTGTCCATTTCTCTTTGTAGTATAGACAGTTTTTACTTTATAGTGAGTTCATACTAGTGGTTATAAACTTGGAAGTGTTATTTTCCCAGTGGAATGAACTGTTTGTTTGTTACACCATGTTACTCTTTTTAATGTAGTAATTTTCTTTTGCGTTAGGCCCATTTTTGTGTGATACTAATATCAAATAAAAACTCAGCCTGCATTTGGTATTTGTTTGGTCTGTTTTTGAACAATTTTCAGAGGAGTGTTGATTGTCTCAACACTTTTGGGAAATTCTCAGCTGTTATCTCTTCCAGTACTGCTCCTCCCAGTTCTCTTTGGCATCCCCTCTGAAACTCCAGTTCAACATTTGTTGGTTCTTCACGCTGTTTCCCCAGTATTTCCATCACTCGTATTCTCTACGTTGTCCACCCTCCACTCTCCTGGCTGCATTCCGGAACTTTTCTTTGAATCTATTTTCAAATTCACTAATTCTCTCTCTCTCTCTCTCCCCCTCTTCTCATATATATATATAAAGTTATTACAACAAATACTGAAGTTTTACTTTTAATTTCTTTTTTTAAACTTTTAATTATTGTATTTTTGTTTCCTATAATTCTTATTTGGCTCTTTCACCAAGTCTTCTTGGTCTTCTCTTCCCTCCCTCCTCCCTCCCTTCCCTCCCCCCTCATCTTTGACTTCTTAAAGTGTGTTAAATATATCTTTTATGTTCTCATTTGATATTTCTCATATCTGAGTCTTCCTGGTTTCTAATTCTGATATGGCCCTCCCTCAGGATAGCCTAATTTCTTTTGTTTTGTGATTTTTAACAGTGAATTTATGCATGGATATTCTCTGAGCTCTAAAGCTGCAGGAAGGATCTGTGCTTGCCTCTGCAGGTTGCTGGAAGATTGCCGTCCCAAGAACATGTTGTATTTTTATTTCACACAGGTGTTTTTATTTTTTTAAACAATCTCAAATTTCCAGAAAGAGTGACACCTAAGACATTCCTCTGCTTGTACACAATACAACCGTCAGATCAGAGGGTTAGCATCGGTGGATTATTACTTTCCACACCTCATGTCCCATTCATATTTCACCAGCTGTCTCAGTAAAATCTTGTTCACTACATAAGCAGGTACGGACTCCTGAGATACATCTAGTTTCGTGTTTCTTTGGTCTCCCTTCATTGGGAGCAGTTCCTCTGCCTCTTTTGCACCACCTTGATCTTGCTTCTTTTAGTAAAAGGTGAAAGATTTATACGCTCTGAAGAGAAAGCAGAGTATTGATCTTGATTCTGTTAAAAATTCCAGGCCAGTCATTTCCTAGACTGTCCCCCGATTTGTTTGTCTGATGTTTCCTTGTGATACCGTTCTGAGAGGACACCACAATGCAGCCAAAGCTAAGGCTGAGGAAGACAAGCCGGTGCAGGAGCTCAAGGGGAAAGGCAGACACTGCTGTCCTTCAGAAAGGAGAGCTACGGAAGGGACGAGGACAGTGCACGCTGAGGCCGCACACAGGGAAGTTGGCGGAGTTCGTGTCCCTTGGCCTCACCCTCTACTTCTTGAAAGATGACCGCCTCCACTTCCTCCTCCTCTACCCACTTCTCCCACCACTTTAGGGAAGAAAGTCCCTTTCTAAAGGTCACTGCTGGACTCTTAATCTTCACATCCTGGAGCACTTTCACAGTATCTCTCCTCTTGGCCCTTCTGTGATAACTGCACCATAGTTCTTTCTTAGACACCTGTCAGATAAAATTCACATATCGTACAGTTCATGTGGGGAGCACACGAATTCAGTGCTCTTCAGTGTATTCAAGGAGCTGTGCATTGATCACCATCGTGGAGCTCAGAATACCTCACCACCCCCAAGGAGACCCTGCTCTCCCTCCCTGTCTCCTCCTCAGTTCTCTCATTTCCCCTTCAGCCCAGCCAGCCTCTAGGCTACCTTCTGTCTCTATGGATTTGTCTATTTCTGACATTTCTATAAATGGAACCGAATCGTGCGTGGTCTTTCGGGACTGGCTGTTTCACCTAGCTTGCGGAGTTGACGCGTGGTTCAGTCCTGCACCCTCGTTTACAGGGGAGCCGTATTCCATTGCAAGGACTCGGGACATTTTCTTATCCACTCGTCAGTCAGTGGACTTTGAGTATTTTCACTTTTTGTCCATATGAGTGGTGCTCTTTCCCTTCCTCTTAAAGCTTTTCCTGGGTCCCCCATCCGGGACCTCTCCTGGAAACCCAGGAGCTATTCTCCTTCTCCTTCTTTCCAGTAAAACCCCTTCTCTTCTTTTATCTTACTTTAATGATCATATGTTACTTGCGGGAAGAGAGAGAGAGGAGAGAGAGACAGCCTGATACGCAGCAACCCCCAGGACACTGATGCACTTTTCTGCCTTATCTCCATCGTACCACCCCTTAACTGCAGCCAGACCGCACCCAGTGATTTAGAGCCCCGTCTTCTAATATCTTTTCCCCTTCATCTATTTCTGCCAAAACGTTCTTTCTACATTTCAAGGGCCAAAAAACTCTACCACATCATTGACTCATCTGAAGTTCTCTAAATGACTTTTCTACAAGCCTGCTAGATTAAACTAAGGTAAACTTTTCTGTACTTGCAGCATGTACTTTGTATTGTAACTGCTTGTATTCACTGCTCTTCCTCCCGAAACGGCAGTCCTCGAGGACATATGCCTCTCCTTGGTATTTCTATGTCATCTCTTAAATTGCCTCATGTGAGACATGGCATTGATTTATTTTTGAAATTGCTAGGTGAATCATACAAACTGACTCAATATTTCAAAAGAATAGCTAGATAACTGGGGGAAGTTACTTGGGGGTTCTGAGTTATCCAGAATTTAAAATCTCAGTTGTCTTTAATTTAAGATGATTATTGTCTTCTGAATAATTCCTGCTCTCCTCCTCCTGGGCTAATGACTCATCGTCTTAAATGCACCACGATGCACCACTAATTCTAAGGCAATATCTATGTATGAAAAACAAATGTTGCCTTACAAAGTAATTGATTCACTAGGGGCATCAGAGTTTCCCAAATAACGTCTTATTAAAAACAGACAAAGCAACAACCAGCCAACACAGCGATCCACAAAGGGCAGTGTAAGCTGCAGGAATGTCAGTCAACTGGATGGACCTGCCACCAGTGGCCCAAGATGCCAGGGTGTGTGGCAGTAAAGGTTTTACAAAGTGCA